TGCATCACAAATTATTCTCAAGTTACAATACTGAGTTGTGTAAATAGTTGTTACTAGGAAATTACTTGCTACATTTTACTCACGTCTTCTGAAAATAAGCCAGCAGCCGAGGTAAACATACCTTACAACAGCATTGCTCAACCTTTTTTAAGTCACAGCTTCCTAAACAAAATCTGAAAATCTCAAGGCACCCCAGTTCAAAATGTAAAAAAATTATGTGTATGTTTCTCCAAAAATCTATACTAGACCATTTTCCTAGATAGGGGTCTGGTATGGATTTCAAGGGAGGACCGCATAAAAAAAAACCGATGAGTTCCCCTTTCCCATCAGTGCTCCCTTTCTTATCAGAAGCTCCTTTTCCCATCAGAAGCTCCCTTTCCCATCAGAAGCCCCCTTTCCCATCAGAATCTCCCTTTCCCATCAGAATCTCTCTTTCCCATCAGAAGCTCCCTTTCCCATCAGAAGCCCCTTTTCCATCAGAAGCCCCCTTTTCCATCAGAAGCCCCCTTTCCTATCAGAAGATCTCCTTTCCCATCAGAAGAACTCCTTTCCCTTTAGAAGACCTCATTCCCATCAGAAGCCACCTTTCCTATCAGAAGAACTTATTTCCCATCAGGAGCCCCCTTTCCCATCAGGAGCCCCCTTTCCCATCAGGAGCCCCCTTTCCCATCAGAAGCCCCCTTTCCCATCAGGAGCCCCCTTTCCCATCAGAAGAACTTTTTTCCCATCAGAAGAACCCTTTCCCATCAGAAGCCCCCTTTCCCATCAGAAGCCCCCTTTCCTGTCAGAAGAACTCCTTTCCCACCAGAAGCTCCCTTTCCCATCAGAAGCCCCCTTTCCTGTCAGAAGAACTCCTTTCCCACCAGAAGCTCCCTTTCCCATCAGAAGCTCCCTTTCCCATCAGAAACTCCCTTTCCCATCAGAAGCCCCTTTTCCATCAGAAGCCCCCTTTTCCATCAGAAGCCCCCTTTCCTATCAGAAGAACTCCTTTCCCATCAGAAGCTCCCTTTCCCATCAGAAGCTCCCTTTCCCATCAGAAGCCGCCTTTCCCATCAGAAGCTGCCTTTCCCATCAGAAGCCGCCTTTCCCATCAGAAGCCGCCTTTCCCATCAGAAGCTGCCTTTCCCATCAGAAGCCGCCTTTCCCATCAGAAGCCGCCTTTCCCATCAGAAGCCGCCTTTCCCATCAGAAGAACTTTTTTCCCATCAGAAGAACCCTTTCCCATCAGAAGCTCCCTTTGCCATTAGAAGCCCCCCTTTCCCATTAGAAGCCCCCTTTCCCATCAGAGGGCCCCCTTTCCCATCACAATATCCCCTTTCCCTTTAGAAGTCCCCCCTGCAATAGCATAATGCATTCCCATGGTGCTGGTGGTCGCCTGCACCATGGACATGCATGACACGGTGTGAGAATTTGAAGCCACCCTTGACAAAGCCGGGATGCACAACAAGGCTGCTATACAGTATTACAATGTAAAGCAGGTTTTGTTGGCACATAGATCTTACATAAGCCGACATTTACCTTTTTAATGGCAGGTTGTCATGTATGGTAATCACTGCGTGCAATGAAGGTGTTTATGTTGTATATTGGGTTATTCCAGAGGGCGTGTTATGTGCAACTGTTTGCAGTGTTCCAATAATAAATAATGCAGAAAGGCTTTGCTCTGCTATGCTGGCTGTATAAATAACAATACAATCACCTGATTCCATTTTCCGGCTAATAACATATTTTAAGCAAGTGCAGAGAATACCCTTTGATCCTGCTAGAAATGTTGTGTCCAGGTTACTTCCTGTGAGATTAAAAGAAATTATGAACAATGTTATCTCTCTTTTGTAAAATACTAACCCGCCATGTACTTGATGAAACAAATACTTATTTCCTATACTCTCCAGCTCCATCTAGTTATGTGTAATTACAATGTAATACATTCGATCTGGGAAATAAACACTTACCCCCATAGTTCGCCCAAGGCCTGGTGCACACCTGGGTGTTTTACAGCGCGTTCCTACGCTCTGTAAAACGCTCAACATGTGAAAACCAATGATTGCCTATGGACATGGTTCCCACCTGAGCTTTTTACAGCCCGTAGGAATGTGCTGTAAAACTCCTAGCACACTGCACACTCCTAGCACAGTGACCAAGAGGTCACCGACAGCTTCAGTTCACTGTTTACGATCAGAAACTGGGGAAGGGGTCCTGATCATGTGATCGCTGCAAATAGCTGTCACAGGAGCTTCTTTGGGGCGTATTTGCCGCACGTATCCATTGGGATACAGCCAGGTAGCACTCGGAAACGCACGTTTGTCGCGTGTTTTTTTACTGCCTACCTAGAGACAGAGCCAGCTGTACCCGCCCCCTCCCCCGTCCGTTCCGCCAGTCAGCGCTGGGGGATCAGAGCGGGGAGGGGGAAAATCCCTGCAGGGAGCTGTGAGTGACAGTCACGGCTCTCTGCAGGGACATGATCGAGAAGTGAGCGAGCGACGGTATGTGTTCGCTCACTTCCCGATCTATTGAGCCGACCTGTGACAGTCTCATTGTCACACATCGGCTCCAACTATGAAGATGAGTGATTTTTACTCACCTCATAGTTCCCCTTTTAAGAATGTTGGCTTGTGGGCCACAGATATTCGCAGGGTGAATTGTGTAATTAGTATTGTCATTGGGGTTGATGAAAGTGCACACTCCTAGCACAGTGACCAAGAGGTCACCGACAGCTTCAGTTCACTGTTTACGATCAGAAACTGGGGACGGGGTCCTGATCATGTGATCGCTGCGATTAGCTGTCACAGCAATCACATGATCGGGAGCCCCTCCCATTGTTACTTTTAAAGGGCTGCTGGGAAGTAGGTTAAATAGATACACGGGGGGGTATGTTTAGTAAGGGAATGGAGGCTGTTCACTTTGTCACTTATTGTTGGTAAAGATGCACCTGTGTTCACTTTGACTAGCCAATCATGTGTGAGGGAAATGAGAAAAACTGAGCTTTTGCAAGCACATGATTGGTTGGCTAAAGTATTTATTAACTCAATGTACATTCACTTTGCTTCTAGTAATAGAGCTCCTTTAGAAAATCAAATCCAGTGGGGTAATTATTTTTAAATGTTATTATTTATTTATTTCTGCAAAGTGGACGTTTTCTACGTAGTAAACTAGGTGCTACATACAACTGGAAGATGGCGGGTGGAGGGGGATGGGTCCCTTATTTTGCAGTTCTGGTGCAAGCAGAAGCCAGTTGACACGTGGCCTTATCTTAAGTGTGTGACAATGTACTAATAACACACACGTTACAGTTAGTTATCTGTGTAAATGTAGGAAGCCGTATTTGGGTCACTGCTGATTGGATTCATTGGCCATTCATAGCTGCTGCTGAGCAGGCAATTACAATTCCTTCCCTTAAAGAGGAGTTTACTGTATGCTAAGTCTTAAGGTGCCCATACACTGCACGATTATCGTACGATAATCGTATGCGATCGGTTTTTCGTACGATAATCGAGCAGTGTGAACGGAGACGTGCGACCGTTTCTACTGTAGGGCCGCACGTCTTCTGTCGAACCAGCATGTTCGAAAACCAGCCGGGAATCGTACGATTCTCGGCTGGTTAGAACGGTGCTCGGGAGACAAATGCCGAACGGGCCGGTGTGCGCACTGCCCGTTCAGTATTGCGGTCATCGGAAGCCCGCCCCTCAGGGGGCCGGGTTTCTTGCGAGGGTTGTAAAGTACTTTAAAAAACGTACGATCTGCCCATCTTGGACAGGCAGATCGTACTTGCGATCATCGCAAGCCTGAGGGGCGGGCTTATGATGACTGCAATGAGGGGCGGGCTTACGATGACTGCAAACGGGCAGTGTGCGCGTGCGCACACCGGCCCGTTCGGCAGGTGTCGAACCAGCAGGCCACTAACTCGTACGATTCCCGGCGGGTTTTCTAGACTGCTGATTCGACGGAAGACGTACAGTAGAAACGGTGGCACGCCTTCCATACACTGCACGATTCTCGTACGATCGCGGGATGTATGGGCACCTTTAGCCTTGATGAAGGGGGAGTGTGGTTAGCGGTGAAATGTGTTGGCGGTTTTTGTTTGATGGAATTATGAATAATTAAAGGTGTCTTTTTGGACTCTTTTCACCTTTTTGGTTTTGCCCCATTATTTGTAAACATTGATATAATTGGTCTATCTGCTGCAATAATTGGCGGACAGTGACCATGACCATGTGACCTAGGTGGCCCAGACTGAGTATGGAGAAAAAATAGTTTTTTCCCCCTCATTTAAGGCAAGGGGTTAATTTATTGCTCAAAATTGTAAGGTGCATTGGTAATGCATATGTGTCTTGCTAAATCTTGTGAGGTGTCCTAGTGAACTCTGCTATGTTCAAGAGATAATCTTGCTGATAGACCGGCAGCCCCCCCTCCACCCCCCGTACTCTCTGGCTGCTTCCACCGGCCTGCCTTATTCCCCTTTTACACTCTATGGTTACGTCTATTGGAGTTGTGTAGGCTTCAATAGATGGAACTACAGAGTGCAGCAAGGGATGCCAGAATCCGACACACCTGGAAATGTTGAATGTAGAAGATCTTTCAACCTGCTGTTTCTTCACTCCAGTGGAGGCTGGCCGTGTGCACTACAGGACAGGCAAGTATGCGCTGCGATACTACTCTTCTCTACATATAATCAGGTGGTGTATTGTGGTTGTGTGCTGCCCTAGGTAAGACTAAACTTGGACACCCACCCAATTTAAATTTGCCCCACCCCTTCCTGTTTAAGACATTTTGCGTAACCTGTCAGTCGCTGGATACAGCAAGCATGCTGTGTGGTGTCCCAGGTGGGTTGTGTGGGGTTTTCAATGGGCTGTGCGGGGTCTCAGGTGGTGGGCTGTGCGGGGTCTTAGGTGGTGGGCTGTGCGGGGTCTCAGGTGGTGGGCTGTGCGGGGTCTCAGGTGGTGGGCTGTGCAGGTTCTTAGGTGGTGGGCTATGTGGGGTCTCAGGTGGTGGGCTGTGCAGGTTCTTAGGTATTGAACTGTGTGGGGCTTTCAGGACATCCCGCCGTGATATTACATGCTATGGCCAGCCCCGAGTCCCCCGCTGCTTCTCCTCCACCTTCTGTACATAGCCAGCCGGATGGCATCTCACTGCCCCCCTCCCCCCTCCACCAGACGGCTCTCTAATTAGGCAGCCACCCGTGGGGCCCTGCAGCCGCCTAATGTGCTTAATTCTGTGCGGCCCAGGGGGCCCAGACTGCCTTGGTCCATGGGGCAGGTGCCTGATTGCCAGTCCGGCCCTGTCGTGCCTCACTGGTTTGGGGGGCCACTTTTTGCCGCCTCCCTGGAAAGTACCGCCCAAGGCAAATGCTTAGGTTGCCTTGCGGTAGATACACCTCTACATACCATGATACTACTCCTCTGCTATGCCTCCTGTCTTCTGTCATGTATGAACGATGTATTTTCAGTCTGAGTCCGGCCTCCGTCCCCCGCTGTTCTCACTTATGAGGTTCTATGAATAATGTAGACGAGGGAAATACGACTTCCCGGGCCGAGAAGATAATTAACATTAAACAGCCCAATTGCTGCAAAGGCTCCGCGATAAAGCAGAACCCCAGACACATTTTTTAGGTTTGTATAGAGTGGGGGAAGAGCTAAAATTTTCCTAAGATTTTTATTTCTGTCTGTTGGAGGAATAATTCTCTACTTCCTGTCCCTGTGACAACCCACAGCAGAAATATAGGGAGTGGTTGTCACTGGTCCAGGTAGTCACAGACAACAATAAAAAACCCTTCCACAGTCTGTGTCCCTGTTGCAGAGATTTCCCCTCACTTCCTTTCCAGACAGGAAGTGAGGGGAAGTCCCTCCAGATGGGACACAGACAGAAGGGCTGCCACACTCATTCAGATGACCTTCTTCTCCACGGCAAGGAAATGTGTTAATTGTTTAGATTCAGTCATCTGAATCGTTCAGTCGTAGGCCACGTTTTGGGGACCATGTTTTATGTTCACTTGCACAGCCGTGTCATCCATACACAGGGAATTGTAAATGGGAAGACTACAAGTCCCCTCTGCCACAACATAAGTGCAGTAAGGTCATTGCAGCCCCATATCAGAAGGTCCAGACCTGGGTCTGGAGGGTAAACAATGCTCCCGCAACGCACTGATGGCATTCACAATGCTCTGTAGGCTTGACATTTAAAATGTGAGCGATATATTTAAGATTTTTTTTTAAATGTATTTTATTAATGTGGGTGCAAGGAGCGTGCTGATAGGAGTTGAGAGCAGAGTGATAGTAAAAAAATCGCCGCGAGGTGCTACAGTGTTCGGGTTTGGCTTGAAGAAAAGGTGGCAACCCTAGAGGGAACAGACCTGTAAGTGTCACTGAACTGCAGTAGACAAAAATCAGGTCTCCTGCTCTGCCAGACAGGGCTGTGCTGTGTTGCAGAGCTGTGTAAATCTCAGGACTGAATGGACAGGTTCGCTAAGGTATGACAGCCCCCTTATATGTATTTCTGTGCGTTTCGTTGTCTGCCCGGAGATCTGCGTTACATTGTAATGCATGACACGGGGTTGGTATTTTCGGGAGCCCGGCTTGCTGTTTCTAGTTCAGAAATTGTCGCTGGACGCAGAGCCGCCCATCCGGACATAACGAGTGCGACTGTTACTTAGGAACGGCTCCTATAAACCTCACACACAGCACAGAAATGTCACAGCCTCTTATATCTATGAAGCCAAAACGTAATAAAACCCCCAGACAGAGGCGCGGGTCTCTATTCTGAGTGAGGAGTGGTAAAGAGAACCTGTCACAGATCTGAGGCCGTTCAGACTTAGTACAGGAAGTCCAATGTGGAGGTCACCTCCAGGGATGTGATCAGCGGACTCGGAGAAACAGACAGCCGGACTTGTATGAGATTATCCACTTTCCCTGCACAGATTGTGGACTCGGCTGCCTCTGGATGCTCCCCATTGGTGGGGTTGGGCTGACTACTACATTAAAGAACCAATAGGGAGGTAGGAGGGAGGGGTGCAGAAAAGCTTTACAAGAAAAGTCAAAATTAGCAATTCTGCATCTACTAAATTATTTATTTGTGACAGGTATTTATAGAGCGCCAATAATTTACATGGTGCTTCTCATACCCTACAGTCACAGCAGGCCCCGCCCCCGAGGAGCTTACAATCTTTGATCCCAATCTTCCCCACTGTGCCCCGGGCCCCATAGCAACCGCCTGGGTCGCTATGGTGATTGTTACGCCACTGCCCCCCCCCTCCAGGTGCCATTGTAACCAGATAATCAAGGTTATTCACATCACCTCTCAGTGGTCATAATGTTATGGCTGATTGGTGTATTTGAGCTGGTTTACGCCAACATAGCCAGCTCCCTGACCACCTTTTTACATTTGGTCACCAGCGTGTAGTGTCTTCTGTTGAATATGTATGCTCCTAACCCTCATGTAAGCTGACAACACGGTCAGGTTCTCTTTAAGTATGCTGTTGCAGATCCTTGATTATATCTTGCGTCAGTCCTCAGAGGCTTCTGTTTCCTTCTATTCACGGTTCATTTTCTCATCTTGTATTTCAGACAGAAATGCGTCTCCAGGACCAGCATTTGGCCAGGCAGCTCATGAGGCTACGAAGTGACATCAACAAGCTGAAGATCGAGCAGACGTGTCACCTTCATCGGAGGATGTTGAACGACGCCACCTATGAACTGGAAGAGAGGGACGAACTATCGGATCTGCTCTGCGACTTCCCCATGATGTCCTCTTTTGGACTGTCCACGCCTCTGAAACTTATTGGAGTTACCAAAATGAACATCAATTCTCGGAGGTTCTCCCTCTGCTAGAACTGTGGGAAGCTCCTCAGTGGCTCTTACATCAACGCCAACAAACTGATGGAATGTTTTGCTGCCTTATATAAAACACCAGCCAATCACACAAGCTGACGCGGTGACTGGCGACACAAAGTATGTAGCAATGCACGGCAGTGAACCTGAATCCGGACCAAACTGGACGATCGATCGTTGATTGTTGTACACGGGGACTTGTCATGTGCGTATCTACTGTTATAAATAGCAAGATAAGATACATAGAGATTACATTCCATATCATGGTGGTGGATGTGGAATATATCCCTTATGGGTTACTGCAAGATATAGGAAGCAGGCTACATTATGTAGGAGATCATATCATATACATCATTGTCATTACAACTGAAAGACCATCATTTCTGAATGAAGGCAGCTCTGAATTTAAAAGAGAGCTTCATTCCAAATCAGCTCAATTGCCAAGGGTCAGTCCTCCTGGAGGTATATTTCATACCTCCCAACTTTCTGAGATGTGAAAGAGGGGTACCTTCCAGCATAATGTATTTAGGTAACAGACACACTTCTGCCACGCCCCCAACTATATATAGGTAATGGACACACCCCTTCCACGCCCCCAGGTTATGTGGACCTTTAGGTCTCATTCACACGACCATCGGCCGGCACGTGCAGCTCCGTGCTGTGTGCACGGCCGTATCGGGCAGCTCCCGGGAAGGACAGGTGCTGCGTTTGATTAGTACGAAGCCCCCGTCCTTCTCTATGAGACTGCGCAGCCGCAAGACCCCCTACGCTCACCTCAAGTGCAGGTCCGTACGGGTGCGTGTTTGCTGGCTCGGACGCAGACAGGATCCATTGAGTACGCTCACCCGCACCCATATGGACGTGCAGGGCGGGTGAGCGTAGGGCGGCGTACGCCCGCGTACTGCCATAGAGAAGGATGGGGGCTGCATACTAATCACACGCAGCACCTGTCCTTCCCGATACGGCCGTGCACGCAACACAGAGTTGTATGTGCCGGCCGATTGTCCTGTGAACGAGACCTTAAGAATCTATGCCAAAATTGATTGGTTAAACCCAAAAATGTTTTTTCACAATTGAATTTCCTTTATACCGGCTTTCCAAAATAGCAAACCCAATAAATAAGAGATAAGATAATGGTTTTAGTAGTCAAATATTACCTGCTCATAAATGGCTCAGACCAAAAAGAGGGGCAGTTCAGAAGGAAAGAGGGACAGAGGGATGGGTTCGAAGTAAGGGACAGTCAGGAGCAGAGGCGTAAGAAGAAATCACAGGGCCCATAGCAACATTTTATATGGGGCCCTGTGATTTCTAGTCATGCCTCTTGCAGAGTCCACCTGATCTCCCAAACAGCCCACTTAAGGGAGACCCTGCGGAGCCCACCATAGACTCTCTATAGTGGGCTCTGCAGGGTCTCAGGTGGGCTGGTCACACCCCTGCATACCTCTTACCTGCCTACTCTTCCAACACCGGGCCCTGCCTCCTCCTCCGTCGCCGGGCACCACCTCCTCCTCCACTGCCGACGCCGGGCACCACCTCCTCCTCCACTGCCGACGCCGGGCCCCGCCTCCTCCGCAGCTGCTGGCTGTCACTTACTCAGCAGCGGCTGTGAGGAGGAACGCGCACCTGCACATATGACTAACAGTATGTCGGTGATCTAACAGCTACACGTTCCTCCTCACACCCGCCAGCGACAGCCAGCAGCCTGAGATGCCATAGCGACCCAGACAGCACGCACCGCATCAGGGGGATGTCCTGGCCGGGCCCCGCCCTGGGCCCCATAGCCTGGGTCGCCATGGCGATTGTTACGCCACTGGTCGGGAGGTATGACATCTATGTGAGTACATCTATGTTGTTTTTACCTGTCATTGAATAAACTTATCTGCACCAGGAAAGGCGCCCTCCTCTTTGTGCTTCCTTCGGGAGGTATGACATGTTCGTTTTAGGTGTATACTTGTAGGCCAAATCTCCTACAGGCTTTTATGAGCTATGATCTATGGTGGTGAGTGAGGACCACAGTTCAGTTCCTGGCTCTGCTGACTCCAATGTAGATGTCCATGCTTCTAAGGTCCTATGTTGAAGGTTGTATCAGTGGACAAATCTTGTGATACCAGTTTGAGATGCTTCTGGGAGCATTCAGAAACAATTGCAGGTACATTTTACCTGCATGTCTGTGAACGTTCTCATTCATCCAGGTCATGGTGTATCTGTAAATAATAAATCGGGACAGCTGGTCCAGTTGCCTTGATTTATTTGTTTACAGATATCCCATGACCTGGATGAATGAGAACTTTCACAGACATATTGCAACACATTTTGGGGAGAAAATTGAGATGTATTTTGGAAGACTCTTTCCCCATAACTAGAAGTTGTGCCAACATTATATACCGCAGAGCTGGAACATTAGGGGAAGTACAGAGCTTTGCTGCCTGTGGCACAATAGAAATATAAAAAAAAAAAAATCCAATACCGATCTCGAGTCATTGTTTTGCATTGTAAATCTGAAGTCACAACCATATAAAGTATTGCAGCTTACAGGTATTTGGGGTATGAGGTATAAGGTGATCCAATGCAAGAAGGTTTTGGGATATTGCCAAGAAGGTCTTTTGAAATTACTAAGCATAACCCAACCAAAAAATGTCAGCCTATCTCTGCAATACCCGCACAGTTTCCCATGTTTTGTGTGTTTATAAATGCTGCAAAATGCCCATTGATCCTGCCAGAAATCCAATGAGCACTTCATTTTCTGTAGTGCGCCAACAGTGCCACCTGAAATCCTAAGCATTGTTGTGAGGTCTACCTGCTGGACATCAGAACACATCTCCCTCAACGTACCTACATAACTTAACAGTGAGGGGTTTGGTAGTCCAACAGAAGAGAACTCAGGCAAGGGTGACAGGGGAAAAGAGAAGAAAAGAATGGAAAGGAGGGTGAAGGAAGCGATCTCTTCAGGTGCAAACATTTTTTTTATTTTTCATTACATAGGCACAAAAAAACAACAAATTTATTTTAAAAAATACTATTTTCTACTCTTAATAGTGTTGATTTGAAAAAAGAAAAAAAACAAGCTAGGGGTGTACTTAAAGGAGAACTCCGAGATCAGGGCTTTTCCCCACAGTTCTCCTTAGGGTAACGGGAGGACACAAACTAGCGTCCTCCCGTCACCCTAGGCTCAGTATACCGCGAGCTACAGCTCGCACTATACTGAGACGCAGCAGCTGAAGCGGATCCCAACAATTATGTCTGACAGCTGGCTCTGCCTATCTAGAGGCAGAGCCAGCTGTAAACCCCCCCCCCCCCCCTCCCCAGTCCGATCCGCCAGTCAGCGGGGGGGGGGGCATCCAGCCTCTCCCCTGTCACGGCAGAGGGCTGCGACAGGATTGAGAGGTGAGCGAACGCCGGTATATGTTCGCTCACCTCCCGATCTACTGAGCCGACCTGTGACAGTCTCATTGTCACAGGTCGGCTAGAACTATGAGGTGAGTGAAAAGCACTCATCTCATAGTCCCCCCTTGTAAGGTGGAAAAGAAAGGGGGGGTGGGGAGTTACTGGTGGTGCAAACTGTCCGGTGGGTTTGTCTCAGCTCCTGGCAAACAGTGAGCATTCCAGGTTGCCCAGCTCTTAGCAACCTGGGACACTGGCCAGAAAGGGGGTGCTCAAAGAAATGTCATTTGAGGCAACAGCCTCAGGCTGCCTCATTAAAGGTACCATTAGGAAGGGTGATCAGTGACATTTTACAAAACGCGAGACTTTACCTTTACAATCTTGCACGTTTTATAACAGTCAATAATTGTACAAATGCAGTTTGGTTCCTGCGGCACTAAATCCTTAGAAGACATAAGGATTTAAAAGGAAGAGCAGCAAAGAGAAGGGAAACTACCATGGAATACAGTACACATTACAGTATTGTTTTATGTTAAAAAATCTGAGGGTTTCATGTCACTTTAACAAAAGTGGTTGCAGTGGTGCGACCCCTGTCTGTATACACAGGCCTCTAAATACTTAAACCGTGAAGTATATGTGAACATTTTAGAATCAAGAATCAAAAATCAAAGTCTCAGTCCAAACACATAGTGAGAAATGTACATTAATGACAAAGGTTTTTGAAGGGTTGTTGATTGTCCTCCAATTCCTTAGCTAACGTGCTAGTGCATACAATGCTAATGCATAAAATGATTTTCAGAGTGTCACACACGCAAACCCCCTAGGCAGTGCTCACTCACCGCACAAAATAACCTTTTAAAGCTTTGCAGTCAGTCTGAATCAGGTATTTGGGTCAAATTCCTCTTTAGCATTTCCTCCAGGTATTGGCCGAATGATGTTTCCCATAAATTAGAGAATCAAGAGGGACTCCTCACGGTGAAGAATGTTTATAAACATTTATTAATAAAACAAATATAAAAACTCACATTTAGGAATAAAACAGACGGTGTCTCGTGAGCCTCTGTGATCACTTCCGCACTCTCCGTGACGCTGTGATGTCAGATAGTCCCACGGGCCAATCCGACGTCAAAGCGTCACAGAAAGTGCGGGCCTATCTGACAGTAATGTCGGGATCCATCCCGGCTGCGGTGGTCTCAGTATACCGCCAGCTATAGCTGGAGGTATACTGAGCTTTGGGCCACGGGAGGACGCTATTTAATATCCTCCCGTGACCCTGAGGAGAACTATGGGGAAAACACTTACCCTATAGTTCTCCTTTAACACAATACCCCAGACAAAGCAGTAAATCCATGCAGCGCGTGGTTTGCAAGGGGAGTTTCTTTTTAGGCTTTAAGCCAGCGCATCCGTTCCACTGAGAAATTACAGACAGAGGAAAGACAGTTGGCTTCTATATAAAGAAATGAGCCTCCAAGCTGTACCACATAAGCTGTCTGCCATTTGGAAGTTAAAGACATCCTTGTATATCCAAAGCTTCCAAATGGCGGACTTCTGTAGTACAGCTTGGAGGCTCATTTCTTCATATGGAAGCTAACTGTCTCTCCTCCGTCTGTAAATTCTCAGTGGAACGGATGCACAGGATTAAAGAATGAAACCAAAAGACATTCATTATTAATATTATCATCAACTTTTGTTTATGAAGTGCTTCATCATTTACATTGGGACCCAGCACAGAACTCTGAGGCACACCGCTCATTACACTAGCCCAGTCTGAAAAGGTGC